CATGATTTCATGAGCTATAACATTCAATTTTTAGCTATTTTTAGCGGTCTTGACTTGTTGGCATAAAATTTCTCGAAGACCAAAATTCACAATTTCATAGGGTATTACCCATGATTTTCTCCATTTTTTGTGGTTTTCACCCGTTGAAAAATAATTATGGATACAAAAATTCATGATTTAATGAGCTATAAAGCACGATTTTTTATTGTTTTTTGTAGTTTTGATCCATTGGCAATAATTTTTCAGAGGCCAAAATTCACGATTTTATGGGCTATAACTAATGATTTTTTATTGTTTTTTAGAGGTTTAGATCTGTTGGTAAAAAATTTCATGGAAGCTAAATTCATATTTTAATGAGCTATTACCCATAATTTTTTTTGCTAATTTTTGTGGTTTCCAACCATAATTAAATAATGATGGAGTCAAAAATTCACAATTTCATGAGCTATACATACAAGTTTTGGCCATTTTTTATTGTTTCGACCCTTTAGAAAATAAATCATTATGGCCCAAATTCACAATTTCATGGGATATAACCTATGATTTTTAGTAGTTTCGACTCTTTGGCATATAATTTCCTTGAGGCTAATTTCATAATTTTATGAGCTATAACTTTCAGTTTTTTGCCTTTTTTAGTGGTTTTGACTCATTAGAATATAATTTCCTAGAGGCCAAGATTCATGATTTCATGAGCTACAACCCACGATTTTTAGCCATTTTTTGTGGTTTCAAACTGTTGGCAAATAAGTTCGTAGAGGCCAAAATTCCTCAATTGCATGAGCTATAATCTATAATTTTTAGCCATTTGTAGTAGCTTCGACTTGTTTGCATATAATCTCCTAGAGGTTAAAATTCATGATTTTATGAGCTACAACCTTCAATTTTTAGCTATTTTTAGCGGTCTTGACTTGTTGGCATAAAATTTCTCGGAGACTAAAATTCACAATTTCATAGGGTATTACCCATGATTTTCTCCATTTTTTGTGGTTTTCACCCGTTGAAAAATAATTATGGATACAAAAATTCATGATTTAATGAGCCATAAAGCATGATTTTTATTGTTTTTTGTAGTTTTGATCTCTTGGCAAATAATTTTTTAGAGGCCAAAATTCATGATTTTATGGGCTATAACTAATGATTTTTTATTGTTTTTTAGAGGTTTAGATCAGTTGGTAAAAAATTTCATGTAAGCCAAATTCACATTGTAATGAGCTATTACCCATAATTTTTTTTTGCTAATTTTATGGTTTCCAACCATAATTTCCTGAAGGCTAATTTCACAATTTTATCAGCTATAACCCTCAGTTTTTTTGCCTTTTTTAGTGGTTTTGACTCATTAGGATATAATTTCCTAGAGGCCAAGATTCATGATTTTATGAGTTATTACCCATAATTTTTTATATTTGGTTGTTTTGACACGTTGTAACTATTTCTGTAGAGGTTAATATTCACGATTTAATGGGCTATAACCCATGATTTTTGGCTATTTTTAGTGGCTTTGCTCCATTGCAAAAAAATTTCAAAGGCTAATATTCATGATTTAATAAACTACAACTCACGATTTTTGACAATTTTTAGTCTTTTTGATCTGTTGCAAAATAATATTTTGGAGGCTAAAATTCTGGATCTAATGAGCTATTATCCATGATTTTTGGCCATGTTTAATGGTTATGACACATTAGCAGATACTTCTCAAAGGACATAATTCATAATTTTATCAGCTAGAACCCACGATTTAATGAGCTATTATCCACTATTTTTGCTATTTTTATTATTTTTACACGTTGGTAAATAATTTTAAGGAGGCCAAAATTTATAATGTAATGAGCTATAACCCATAATTTTTGGACATTTTTAGTGGTCTCGATATGTTGGCAAATAATTTCAAGTGGGCAAAATTTCACGATTTTATTGCCTATAATCCATGATTTTTGGCCATTTTCAACAGTTACGACGCATTGACAAATAACTTCTTAGGGCATATAATTCATGATTTCATCAGCTAAAACCCCATCATTTAATGAGCTATTACCCATGAATTTTTTTACCTTTTTTTGGTTATTTATATTCAATGGCAAATAATTTTAAGCAGACCAAAATTCATGATTTAATGAGCTATAACTTGTGATTCTTAGCCATTTTTAGTCGTCTCAATTTGTTAGCAGATAGTTTCATGCGGGAAAAAAATCATGATTTTATGAGCTATAACCTACGATTTTTGACTGTTTTTTGTGGTTTCAACTCATTACCATATAATTTTCTGGAGGCCAAATTTGATGAGCATTAATCCATAAATTTTTTGCCCTTTTTAGTGGTTACGACCCATTTGCAAAAAAATTTGTGGAGACTAAAAATCATGACTTAATGAGCTGTAACCCACGATTATTTATCATTTTTTGTACTTTCGATTCGTATTATTTTTCGAAGGCTATAATTCGTGATTTAATGAGCATCCATGATTTCCGTTCATTTTTAGTTGCCACAAGTCATTGGAAAATAATTTCTCATAAGCCATAATTCATGATTTCATCAGCTATAACCCTAAATTTTTTAACATTTTTGGTTATTTTTTCCTTTGAAAAATAATTTCATGAAGATCAAAATTCATAATTTAATGAGCTATAACCCATGATTTTTGGAAGTTTTTACTGGTCCCAATCCGTTGGCAAATAATATCACGGGGGCCAACATTAACAATTTTATGAGGTACAACTCATGATTTTTGGCTATTTTTACTCATTTTGACCTTTTCGCGTATAATTTCCCGAAGCCTAGAATTTATGATTTTTTGAGCTGTAACCCTTGATTTCTGGCAATATTTAGTGGTTTTAACCCATTGGTAAATAATTTCGCGAAAGACAAAATTCACAATTTCATTAGCTACAACTCACGATTTTTGGTCATTTTCAGTGGTTTGCTAGCAAATAATTTTGTGGACTCCAAAATTCATATTTTAATGACTTATAACCCACAAGTTTAGGCCATTTTTAGTGGTTTTGACCAATGAAAAATAATTCTATAGAGGCCAAAATTCATAATTTAATGTGCTATAACCTATGATTTTTTATCGTTTACAGTGATTTGCCAAATATTTCTCCAAATGCCAAAATTCAGGATTTAATTAGTTATTACCCGAGATTTTTGGTCATTTTTAATGGTTTTGACCCATTAAAAAATAATCGTGATGACAAAAATTCATGATTAAATAAGATATAAACCATGATTTTTGGTTGTTTTTAGTGGTTTTGATCCCTTGGCAAATAATTTCACAAAGACCAAAATTCATATTCATGAGCTATAACCAATGATTTTAGGTTATTTTTTAGTGGTTTCAATCTATTGGTAAAAAAATTTCCTAGTGGCCAAAATTCACAATTTAATGAGCTATTACCCATGATTTTGGTCATTTTTAGTTGTTTGGACTTGTTGACAAATAATCGTGGAGGCAAAATTTTTTGATTTAACGAGCTGTAAACAATGTCTTTTGCCCTTTTTAGTGGTTTTTATCCCTTGGCAACTAATTTCATAGATGTCAAAATTTATGTTTTCATGAGCTATAACCAACGATTTTTGTTTGTTTTCTAGTGGTTTCAATCTTTTGGTGAAAAATTTCACAAATGCTAAAAATTTATGATTTTATAAACTATAACCCACAAATTTGACCATTTTTTGTTGTTATCAATTCGCGGAGGCCCAAATTCATGATTTCATGGCCTATGACCCATGATTTTTGGCCGTTTGTAGTGGTTTTGACTCGTTGACATATAATTTTCTAGAGGCCAAGATTCATGATTTCATGAGCTATTACCCATGATTTTTTTCCATATTTTTGATGGTTTTGACCCATTGGCACATATTTCTGTGGAGGCCAATATTCATGATTTAATCAGCTATAACCCATAATTTTTGCCCGTTTTTAGTAGTTTTGATACATTGCAAATCATATTCCAGAGGCCAATATTCATGATTTAATGAACTATAACCCATAATTTTTGGTTATATTTAATCTATTCGATCTATCATCAAATAATTTTTTGGAAGCCAAAATTCATGATCTATTGAGTTATTACCCACAATTCTTCATCATGTTTAATGGTTACAACATGTTGGCATATAATTTCTCGGAGGACATAATTCATGATTTCATTAGCTAAAAACACACGATTTAATGAGCTATTACCAAGGATATGATGTTGTTTTTTATTACTTTTACACATTGGCAAATAATTTTAAGGAGGGCAAAATTCATGATTTAATAAGCTATAACTCATAATTTTTGGACATGTTTAGTGATCTCAATATGTTAGCAAATAATTTTAAGTGGGCAAAAATTCATGATTTTATGAGCTATGACCCATGATTTTTGACCGTTTTTAATGGTCTCAATCCATTCACATATAATTTTGTGGGGACCAAAACTAACAATTTCATGAGCTATAACCCATGACTTTTTGCTATTTTTAGTCATTTTCCTCTATTGACGTGTAATTTCTCAAAGCCCAAAACTTATGATTTCTTAAGCTATAACCCACAATTTCTGGCTTTTTTAGTGGTTTCAGCCAATTGGCAAATATTTTTGAGAAAGCGAAATTCAAATCTTCATTCGCTACAACATAGAATTTTTGATCATTTTCAATGGTTTCGACCATTTGGCAAATAATTTTGTGAAGTCCAAAATTCACGGCTTAATGACCTATAACTCACGATTTTTAATCATTTATAGTCATTTGCTAAATAATTCTCTGCGGGTCAAAATTGCATTTAAAAGTTAAGATGAGTAGAATAGAACGTGAGAAACGGACCAAGAGCTTTAACAGCCTACTAATTAAATTAATGAAAATTGTAAAAACGTTTTGATGAACAATGATGTGCAACGCACATATTTTGATGATAATACCCCAACATACACTTTATTCTAGCTAGCATCCAACAAGACAGTTTCACTGGTACGATTATTACATGGCAAATACACATGATGTATAAGGTTTCATCATTAACATGCAACTACATTCTTTGAGGCTTGGCAATCAACCAAAGTTCGGACTTCCTTCCAACTGTTATTCCAAAAAATTCACTCATATCTAGATCTTCAGGCCTCATCGCATCAGGAAGCTCCCAATCAAAGTAAAAGAGGAGGTTTGCAAGGGCAAGCTCCACACTGACCATCCCGAAAGTCACTCCAGGACATACTCTTCTTCCGCCACCAAATGGTATGTATTCGAAGCTACCGCCGGCGAAATCAACAGAACGGCCATCAAATCTCTCTGGCCTAAAGCTTTCTTCATCTTCCCAATACCTAGGATCTCTCCCTATCGCCCATGCATTCACTAAGACTCTACTACCCGCGGGGATATAATATCCCATCACGTTGCAGGATTCATTGCATACTCTTGGTAGAAGTAGTGGAACCGGTGGATGCAACCTTAGAGTTTCTTTAATGACTAGCTTCATATAGTGTAGGGATCTCAAGTCTTCGTCTTCGATCGTTTCTTTGTCTTTTAGAATATTTCGTAATTCTGATTGCACCTTTTTCATTACCTCTGGGTGCCTCATGAGCTCTGCCATCGCCCATACCAAGGTAGTGGTTGTAGTTGAAGTTCCTCCATTAAACATATCCTTAGACAAAAATAAATAAATACATAAATGAATAAAAATTCATATTCGTTATGAGAGCAAGACGAGTAATTATTCTCGGTTCCTCCTATGAAAAAAAGGCTCAAAACACCTGCTTGAACACACCATGAACTTGTGATTTCTCTCATCACATACAAGCACCACTGAAATATATTGCATGATTAATAAATTGAAAAAAGTAAAAAATGATGTAGTATGAGAAGTAGGTGCTTCTGAAATGAATAAGATGTCGAAAATTTATATGTGCGCACCTTCCTTCCTAAAGGAATTGTTGGCGCCTGTGGTTAAATCTGGAAGAATACATATATATAACAGCAAAAACTGAACAGAAAACTGAAGTTTAGTAATTTAAAATTTTTCAACTCAGCTGCTGTGCGTTTGTAAAACGTTGTGCTTAAAGCATTATTTGGTCTACTCCGGTGCAATGATCTCAATGCCAAATTGCTTCCAAGAACAACAGTCCAGTACTCTGGTGTGCACCGACCCAGTACTGTCAAGATCTCATCGATCTATAAGGCAAAGATCTCCTTGATCTATCAGGCAAAGATCTCCTCGATCTATAAGCCAAAGATCTCATCGATCTATCAAGCAAAGATCTCCTCGATCTATAAGACCTTCTCGGTCTAGGCACTATTTCTACGAATACTAGCTATTCTACAACATATATATTGTAGGCGTCTAAAAATGCCTATAGGTATCCACGCACAGCTCGAGACAGAGAGAAGGTGATGAACGCCACTATCTAAGTCTAAGAGGATTATCCGACGCCGATGAACACATGAAGCGAAACGGCGAACCGAATAGCCTATACACTCATCGGCCACCTCCAAGTGGCCCGTGTACTCACCAGCCACCAAATCGGCGAACCAAGTGGCCCGCACACTCATCGGCCAGCCGTCAAGCTATCCATGCTTCGCGAAACGAATCGGGAAAGCGTACAAGTCAACGAAACGACGAAATACGCGTAACGACGAGACAAGTCAAAACCCGAAAAACAGATAAAGCCCTGGCGACCGAATCGTGCCAAAGCCGACTCTGTCAGACCAGTGGCTCGGCCAAGGCCGAGCCACCATTTGGTTTGCCCGGCTAGGGCGGAGCCACGGGTGACTGTTCGGCCAAAAGTTAATTTTTTCGGTTCTTTTATGGATTATTTCGGATTTGGGAGTTCCAACTGCTCTGATATTATTGTTAGACAGTCTCTAAGTAAAGATAGAGGGAATCCCTCATTTTGATCCAAGAAAACCACCAACCAAGCCTATAAATAGAGGCTCAGGTGTTCATTTTTAGGAAGGAGATCAAGAGGGCGAAGCGCTGCCGAATTGAAGAGTGGAGCCACGAATTTACAGCAAGGGTTAGCAGATCTTGGCGATCTCCTACGCATAAAGAGTGGAGTTCGAGAGATCTGAGACCCGTCCCCTATTCCTCCGGATTTAAGCTTGGTCTTAAATCCCGAGAAGAGCCATGATTTTGCTTAGTCAAAATCACCGCTACTGCAATTACTTCCTTCGTGAAGTGAGAGCATTGATTATCCAACTTCTACTAACCGGATCTGATCCGCGACGGTCCATGGATATTAACATCCCCGGCACAGGTAAAGATCCCACGCAAGCAGTGGGTGATAAACGTCCGTTGCGCTGTTTGACAAGAGTTGTAATCTTTATTTTCATTGTATAAAGGAGATCTTATAAAAAGATCGACTTTCTTTCTTTTTGAACTTATTGTAATGGCTAAAATTGTAATGAGTTCGTCACCAATGAAAATATCAACTTTTGACCCAAACAAGCTGGCGACCACAGTGGGAGCCAACAGCTTCGCTGCCGAAGCTGTCGTGCCGCAGCCACGGATCCAGATCCCGGTTTACGAAGAGGTCGAGTACGAGTTCGACCAACTAAAATTCGAGGAGTATCTGTTGCCCTCCTCCTCCAGATCCTCCACCCCTCACAAGCATAGGAAGATCAAGGTCCCCGTTGCCGCTGCAACCCCGCCTTGTAATGCCCCTCTGGCCTCCAATGAGCCCGGATCTACAGATCTGGACATTTCCTCCACCAAGGAGTTAATTGCTGAAAGCGTGTCAACCCTATCAAAGAGGGCACGCCAAAGACAGCGCCAACGACTTGTGCGTCGACTCGGTAAGGCTTTGGAGCCGATTGACGGGATTCACTACGAAGCGGATCTGAAGTCCAGAAGGTGCAAACCCCTTCAACAGCAAATGAATGGCGTATCCTCCAAGCCAACAGCGAATGAATGGATCCAAGTCAAACGGACCCGCTCAACCCTCGAGGAGCGCATTCAGAAGCATCATGCCTTGATTGCACACGCACGGATCCTCGTGCGAGAAGCGCAGAAGTTGAAGCAGAAAGAAGTGGTCAAGAAGCCACCAAGATCACGCTGAGTCTCGAAGCCAAAGTCCAAACCGGCATTAAAAACAACCCAAACGGTGCCCGAAGACGTCGGAGAAACCAGAAGACTAATTGGTGGCTCGTCCAAATTCAAACCATCAAATGGTAGCTCGGCCAAGTTCAAACCACAAAATGGTGGCTCGGCCAAGTTCAAACCACCAAATGGTGGCTCGGCCAAGTTCAAACCACCAAATGGTGGCTCGGCCAAAGTCAAACCACCAAATAGTGGTTCGGCCAAAGTCAAACCATCAAATGGTGGCTCGGCCAAAGTCAAACCACCAAATGGTGGTTTGAGCAAAACTCGAACTGGTTCGATCCGTTTCACTGCTGATTCACTTCCTACAGTCCCGTCCGAGTTTCCAACGGCCCCTATTCCTGTCCCGATGAATTCTACACTTCTGGTGATACCTCACGACCACAGAGACTTATCCTATTTTAAGATGAGGATGACGGATCGCCTGGGTCCTTTGCACGAGGATCGAGGAAATGTTCCGATCAAAGAACGCTTGGGTCTGGTGACTGAACCCCGAGCAGCCATTCGAGCTGGGGGTCGCACATGCCCTCGTAACAAATCAGGACCTTTGTATAATGAGAAAACCCCTGCACTTGACCGCCTCGGACGACAAATTGAAGTCCAAGAACCCGTCAAGAGTTCGCGTCCCCAAAAGCGCCGCTCTAAACGCGTGACTCTTGAGGACGTAAACAAGGCATCGAGTCCTCAGTAGGAAACGTATTCGTCAGACGATGACGTTATACCTGATGAGTCATGCCAACACACGATAGGTTGCTCCGGTCTTCAGACCGATGAGTTGTACTATCGGGCTAGGGGTACGAACAGATCTCGAAAGAGAAGTACCCGAGAAACGGACTCTCATTGTCCGTGCACAAACATTATCAGGGTAGTATTATCAGCGTGTAGCTGCCCCAAGACCGCTTCGCAGAGGATCTCGGTATTTGAGAGTATCTCTAACGGAGCGACTAAGTCCAAGCCAAGACGTTTCCACAAGAAACGATTGGCCGTTCAAGGTGACGAACTTTCGGAAGTCACAATAAATATGGCTGATAAGGAAAAATCGATTCGACCTTCTAGCTCTGACCCGCTTGTATCGCATCGTCTAACCCAGTTACGATCAGGAACTATTAGACAAAGGGACTATCAGAGAATGCAGAGAGGGTTATCCCCGGATGATGAAGTATCGGATGCTAACTCGGCCATCGCTTCTGATAATACGGTATCCAGTCCGGGACAATCCCGCGAAGTGTTTATGATTAACACCGAGGAAGTAGCCAAAATGGTTGAGGATGCCTTGGCCAAGCAGAAAGAGGCATTCAAGATCGAAATAGAAATGGCTATGCTACGAATGAGGGAAGAGCATGACCAATAAATTCGGGCTCTGTCCAATCAGTTCGGTGAATCCAGTCGTCGCAACATTGCTGACCAAGCAGGTAGCGATTCAGATGCGGATGAACGTCTCAATGTTGAGAACCCTCCCGTTGATTAGAACACTAGGGGTGGTCCCACTGAAGATAATAATACCGGGGGTGGTCCCGGCAATGATGACAACACTGGGGGTTGCCCCGTTGTTCCTCTCACAAATCGTCCGAAGCATGATATAGACGAGGACGAAAAGATAAAGGATCTCGAGAAAAAATCAACGCTCTGATGTCTGATTCAGAGGTAAAGAAGACCGGGATCCCATGTCCTTACCCAAGAGAGTGGGATTCGATCCCGTATCCGGCGAAGTTCAACCTGATCAACTTCACACCGTTCGATGGGAAGGGTTCGCCCACTCAGCATTTGATCTACTTCAAGTCCCACTTGGGCATGATCTCCGGTAATGAAGCCTTGATGGTTCGGTCATTCGTTGGCACTCTTCGCGGGCCCGCCTTCGATTGGTACAGCCGTCTTAAGTCTGGAAGCATCAACAGCTGGGACAACCTAGAGAACCCATTTCTCGCTCATTTCTTTGACGATGATGCTGAGGTGTCAATCAGGATGCTCTTCGATGAGAAGCAAGAAGATGACGAGACAGTCGATGACTTCGTCAAGCGTTTTCGGAATAAGGCGATGAACTGCCGAGATCCGATCACAGAGGACTTCATCCTCCAAACCTGCCACAACAACCTCTCTTTGGACGTGCTAGAAGTTATGGGAGTAGCACCGTTCACAACTGGAAAGAGTTGAAGGTGCGTGGAGAGCGGGCCGAACGCTTCCTCCGAAGGAAGAAGGCCGAGAGGAGCCAACCGACGGCTAATCCTCCGAACTCGAACTTCACCTCCTGTGGTAAGAGCAAGGCACTTGCAGCGGCTGTTGGTACTAATCAAACGTCACAACAACAATTTCGAAGGCAGCAAAAGACTTCAGACCCGAGACTCCAAAAAGAGTATTCCTTCAAGGATGAAGACGTTCCAGCCATCTTCGAATCCCTCCTTGAAAACAACAAGATCAAGCTACCACCTATCGCAAATCAGGAGGAAGCTGAAAATACTACGGATCCAAAGTACTGTGCGTACCACAGGAGGGTCCTTCATCCCACCAAGGATTGCTTTGTTCTTAAGAATATCATCCAAACCGTGATTGAA